ACTTGTTTCATTGTTTGACATTTAAATGTTAGTTTATTGTACTTAGATAGTAGGTAAAAACTGTTATCGGAGAATCTAAATGAAATCATTTGGCTCCAACTTTCCAGCTCGTTCTGAGCTCCATGAATTGTTTGTAAGCCATAACTAAAGTTATAAAGTAAAACTTCTCGTTTTGCCTTTGGACGATTAGTTTAAACAATATATTTAAAATGTATCGTTCTGCTTGTTAAAAATAACATAATTTATCGCCTTCAAAATTAAAGGAGAAATCTCAGAAAATTAACTAATACCAGACTAAATCCTTGCCATTACGGCCAAAATCTGTCATTTTGAGTCGTTTTAAGATCAAACGAATTATGATCGGCAGAAACTAACTTTAAGTACCAATGACTGAGTATAAATCCTCGAAAAGTTAATCACAATTTCCATCTGACATAGACTAAGATAATCGAGCAATCGGACAAATGATTATTCTCCAATTCTTATGGAAATTCTCTACACACGCACATGGCTGTAATAGCTTTATATCACTCATGAGACTAAACAGATTAAGAAAAACTCTGTAAAAAAACTCTAGAAAAGACGTTTCAACTTCGAAGTAAATGTAACGCCCAGATCCTCTCAGTAGAAAATACTTAGATTAAAAATAACTTCTCACATAGCTAGTCATGATAATTTTAAGATATCATATGGAAAAAATAACAAAAAAACAAAACGAACAGTAGTTTGAGAAGGATATCAAAGATTAAGCTCCTAAAAGCAGTTCAGACAAGCCAAAAGGCAACTTTTGAATCAATGGAAATCTGTTCTCTTGTTAAACTTGACTTTGGCCGTCTTTTGGTTCTTCCTGCTTTGAAAAGAAGACTCTTGACAAAGGTTTCGTCTGTAGCTTACTGGTTTCTGGTCCAAATATCAGCATTTGCACATATCCGAAAACTCCCTGGGATTCCAATGCTCTCTGCCTTAACTGAAAAATGAAAGAATCTAAGTTTAGGGAGGATAGTTGAGTTGCCATGAAATATTTCTTAGCACATGAAACGATACACTGCACAACAGGATTGCTTTAAAAGAACTTTGCTATTTTACTCCTATCATGTTTCCAAAATAGAATGTTATCATCGTAAATGTGTCCACTTGATTGTAGTGCATCTCAGTTTGCGGAGAGAAAAATAAATTGGTAACCCAACGGAAAGGAAAATAACACACAAGTATGACTGCTCACATATGAGCAAAGATTTTGATTTAATGCAACTTTGTATTGAATAGAATGTATTAACAGAATTATTACTTACTTCTCTAAATCTCCTTGAAATCCAGGCTGACGTCGTCACCAATGAGTACAAATGGTGCCCAGTAAATCACCTCCTTGAACTTTTCAATTTCTCTCATACGCTTCATGGCCTGATTGAGAGCTTCGCTTGCCTTCTTGCCTTTGGCAAGTGCATAGTAGAAGAAACTCATGAACTCCAGGGTTCCCTCGTCGCCAATCGCCCACAAGGTTACCACAACAGATCTGGCACCGGCACCCAAAAGTGCACGGGCCATGCCGACCACACCCTCGGCCATCACCTCCCCACGAGCAGTGTGACAGCAGCTAAGTACAACCAGACGTGCTCGCAACCCAGCTTCTATGACATCTTTCATCGTCAGTAGATAGTCTTTCTCTTGCGGCTGAGGGTTATCTCTTGTGGTGTTTGGTGCCAGGATAACTTCTCCAGTTTCCATCTTACCGTGCGCTGCTATGTGAACTAAGGCCACTGATGATATTCGTTTTAACACTTCATCTTTTGTTGCCATTTCTCCAGTGAGAGGGGAGACATTGAGGATACGTCCAATCATCTCCACTTCTTTCCTTGCTCCTGGAAGTTGCACCAAAAGTCCTCCCTCATAGATGATATGTTTGAAACATGGGTCGCCGACAAGCAATGCACCGGTCTTCATGTGAAAGTCAGCTGGACAATCATGAATTAGTTGCAATGTCGTCAGAGAGGGAAGCACACGAATTTTGAAAGAATCACTTAGATATGATGAGTTGGAGTCCAGCAACGCTGCATAAGGTACAAGGCAAAATGGCCCCTCAGGAACGAATGTGATCTCGTCGTTGCCTTCGATCAGGTCAGCAATAGGAGTAACGATGATGTCATGCAGCTTCTTTAAAGCACTGGATTGGGAGTGCCTCACATCAACTCGGATCAAGTCATTGGCCACTTCATCATCTGTCGGCGAGTCAAGCGGAGGATTTTCGATGGTAACAGTACCTCTTGTACCGATCTCCTTAAGAGCAGTTTTGGTCAGTAGCTGGATGAAAAATCTCAATTCATCCTCATACTTGTATTTGTTCACGTGCACTTCTCTCATCTGGATATTATCTTCACTGAGGCAAACCCAAAAGTAAACACATGGTCCATTAATAGCTATGAAAACTGTGCTCAATGGAACCCACCTCAGAGAAGTGCGGAATGCGCTGGGCGTCAAAGAATCGCCAGGCTGATATTTTGTGACCATGAGATCTCTCAGAGCTTGAGCACGTCCTTTCTCTGTGGCAAGAAGAGCCTTCACAACTTGACCTCGATTGAGATTTATACGCCACAAACCTTTGTAGGCTACTTGGTGCTGATTACGATAACAAATCTTCCACTGATCGTTGAGTTGAAGACTGGTCCTGATATCATCATACAATTCTACACTCGAGTAATAAAAGTCAAAGGCCATCATAAGATTTCCTTGACAATCAAAACTGCTTCCAAGGGAACAGAGTGAGCACGCCTCTCCAGTCTTACTTCCCACTTCTTTGGATATTTCTAGGTGACGTTGAAAACACTCAATAGCTTTTTTCAACTCTCTTTGACCTTGATGAATTCTGCCGAGAAGGCAATAACTCATTCCCTCTCCGGCCTTGTCTCCCACTTCTTTAGCAATTTCTAG